CGTGCTGCAGACGGCGCGGACAGCGCTGCGCACCGACGGCGAGCGCCTGCTGTTTGTGGGCGGTGAGGTCTCCGAGCGGTGTCTGGAGCTCAGCGACGACACCTGCTACCTGGACTCCAAGAGCGAGCAGTGGGTCAAGGAGACGCCGCTGCCGGCCCGGCGGAGCCACCACTGTGTCGCCGTGCTGGGCGGCTTCATCTTCATCGCAGGTGGCAGCTTCTCTCGGGACAACGGAGGGGACGCAGCCTCCAACCTGCTTTATAGGTATGACCCCCGCTGTAAACAGTGGATCAAGGTGAGACTAAAGCGATTCTTCCTTTACCCCAGGGCTCTCGGGTCCCCTTCGCCCAGCCCTCGCCTCCCCTCCTCCTCTGGGCCATGACAGTGGCCGCTGCCTGCCTCCCGCCCGGCTGGGGAGAGGAAGGGCGCCATGTGCGGTGCTCTTTCTCTGCTTCCAGGGCGCCTCACATCTGTGCCCCTCACAGCAGCCACTGCCCCAGTTGGCACTCGAGCCTCTGAGGTGTGGCCAATGCCGATGAAGAGCCACGTTTTCTTTGTCTACTTTTAAGCGGTTCACAGTGAAGTGCAAACAGCCACACGGGGCTCTTGCCTACCAGACTGTGGTCCCGGCAAGAGTCCTCCTGCCTCCTCTTCTCCGTGGGTCTCTGCTCCTGCAGAGGTTCCCAGAGGCACCAGAGCTGGCCATGGTGGCGCACGCCTGCAGTCCTAGCACTTGGGAGGCACAGGCAGGAGGGCCCAGGTTCAAGTCCAGCCTGAATTATAGAGTGAGACCCTGTCTCAAACCAACAGACCAAATAGAGGCAGCAGAGCCTGCGCCTGACCCAGGCTGTGAGGAGAGCCTGAGCCAGGACCTCCACCCATCTCACTGTGCACCCGCACCCTCTCCCAGGGTCCTGTTCTGCCCTGGAAACTGGCATGGCCTCGAGGTCAGGGGGCTGTGGCGCACCTCCGGCTCACGGAAGGGGTCCCCACCTCCCACGAACCCCTCTCCAGGAAAACCTAGTGTCAGCCTTACACTCACACCTCCACAGTGCTGCGGACTTGGGCTTTTCTGAGCTGAGCACTCAGGCCAGGGTCCGGGGACCTTTCCCTCTCATCCCCACCACCCGAAGCAGGGCCAGGTCTCCTGCCTGGAGGAGGCCCCTGCTCCTCAGCCGTCCCCAGAGGTTTTGTGGGGGTGGTGGCCTCGATGTGTGTGCTCCTGCATGCCCAGGCTCACGTGCACGTGCTGCTGAGACCATTGGACCATTCAAAAAGTGAGAAAGCTTGGGTCATTTGCTTTTTAATCTTCTGTTCAGTGCTGTTTTCTGCTGCTAACAGGGACAGTCAGCATCATTAATGTTTAAAAACATCTGGAGCTGGGAGTGTAGCTCGGGGGTACAGTGTATGCAGGGCTGCAGGGTGCACAGAGGCCTGGCTCCCTCTGAAGTTCTGTGAAACAAATCTGAAGGAGTGAAATAAGGGAAAGCTTGTTATTTTTGTTTTGTTTTGTTTTTTTAAGTTTTAGAAAATTGCTAAATTGTCCGTTCTAAGCTATGTATGCTGCAGTCTTAGTCCATGAGCTCGATCACATGGCCAGACAAGTTCGGGGAACCACGTGTCTGCACCCCTCTCAGGGATGTGCTGAGCTCCTCCGGAGACCCCGTCTTTTCCCATCTAAGTCTGTGTCCCACCCTCCTGGGCCATGGCTTCCGGGACACGGGTGAGGCCACAGCACCCAAGGAGGACATGCCCCGGCTTGGGGGGAAGGTACAGGTGTCTCGCCTCTGCAGGTGGCCTCCATGAACCAGCACCGTGTGGATTTCTACCTGGCCTCCATCCAAGACATGCTGGTGGCGGTTGGTGGCCGGAACGAGAATGGAGCGCTCTCTTCCGTCGAGACCTACAGCCCCAGGACTGACTCCTGGTCCTACGTGGCCGGCCTGCCCAGGTAGGCGGGACTTTGCAGCCCTCTGCTCCAGTGTGACCTGTGTCCTGCATATACGGGGCTCCAGCTCCAGCCGCCCAAATGCAGGTCTGAGCTCCGCCAGGAGGAGTCGCCCCCCCACTTTCCCAGCCTGTCCCGCACCTGAGGTCAGGGAGCCGTGTTGAGCTGTGACATTGAGGCATTTACTTGAAGACACCCCCCCCCCAGTCTGGGCAGGAGTTTGGGGGGGTCTTTCACATCTGTGGAGTTGGGGGTGGTGCTGCTGAGACACCAGTGAGAACTTTTTTTAGGGCGTCCCGCAGGTAGAAAACACCCTAAGAGTCGCGTTTCTCCTTCCCCTCGGCCCCACCACCCGGCTGTTTACGGAGCAGTTCCCATCCTTGTGGGTAGGCGGAGGTTCTTGAACACGCACTGTGACCCCGAGAGTCACATGGGCACGTGGGGCATGGACCTGTTTAAAGTCACACTTGGGGCACGTGTGCGTCCCAGCCACCCCCCCAAGTCCAGGCAGGGCTCTGGGCAGCCAGGGAGCAGCGTCTGGAGCCCTGATGGGCCCTGTCCGTCCAGATGGTCACCATCGCGACAGCACTCAGGTGACGAGGCTGGCTGGCCTGGGTGGGTCAGTGGGACAAGGATCGGCCCATCCCCAGGTCCCCCACATCCCAGAGGGAGGAGTGGGCCCCGCACAGTGGCCGCATTGGCGTCAGCGCAGTCTGCATGCCCTCCGCCGCACCTGATCCACAGCTTTCCTCGTGTTGCCCGCACGGTAGAAAGGGGCGTCCGTCACCTAGAGTCCCACCCAGTGCCCTCTGCCCGCCCTGGGCTCGGCTTCTGTGCACCCTGCCCCGGACCCCAGCCCACTCCATCCCCGCCTCCCGCTTCAGTCGCCACTGCCCAGAGCTTCATGATGTGCCTGCCTGGCCTATTGTATTTTATTTGTTTGTTTTGTTTTTCATACCAGGGATCGAACTTGTGTCCTTGCACTTGTGGGGCAGGTGCTGGAACCACTGAGCTAAATCCCCAGCCCTGGGCTATTATATTTTAACTTTTAGTTTTCATTTATTTTGATTGCTTTTTTTTTTTTCGGTTTTGGTTTGGGCTTTTTGGTTTGGTTTGGTTTGGTTTGGTACGGCGGATCAAACTCAGGTCCTTGCACTTGCAAGGCAGGGAGCAGAACCACTGAGCCAAATCCCTGGCCCACCCTTTTTTTTTAGATTTTTTGAGACAGTCTCACTCTGTAGTTAAGGCTGGCCTTGAATTCGAAGTGATCCTCCTGCTTCAGCCTCCCGAGCACTGGGATCAGGTGTGCACCAGCATGCCTGGCTGCCTTGTCATTTCTTCCTCTATTCCTTTTCAGTAAACATGAGCTTTTAGAGGAGCCTTAGGTGTAGAGAAAATTGAGCAGAGAGCACTCAGAGTTGGAAGTACGCTCTGTCCCTTTCTTCCACAGTGAGATCTAAGCAGGTGTGCATGCCAGAATGGCACGTTGTCTTGGTTCCCAAGCACTACATCAAGGACCCAGCATTCTGCATGCAGGAAACCTGGCTGGGGAGCGGCACCTGGAGAGGAGTGAGGGTAGGACCCTGGCCAGGTGTCCTGACCCAGGCCGTGGGTTCAGTGGCGGGTATGTAGAGTGCTCATTGGATCTGAACATGGTAGCATATGCCTTTAATCCTTCCACTCAGGAGGCTGAGGCAGGAGGATCAGCACAAGTTGGAGGCCAGCCTAAACTACAGAATGCAACCCTGTCTCGAACAGAAAAAGTACTATGGAGTACAGGGCAGGTTGCACCATTTTGCAGAGAGCAAGACTGAGGCACCGGCTGCCCGCACTGAGCCCCTCTCCTCCGTCTCTGCAGGTTCACCTACGGCCACGCGGGCACCATCTACAAAGACTTTGTGTACATCTCGGGCGGCCACGACTACCAGATCGGCCCGTACCGCAAGAACCTGCTGTGCTACGACCACCGCACAGACGTGTGGGAGGAGCGGCGGCCCATGACCACGGCGCGTGGCTGGCACAGCATGTGCAGCCTGGGCGACAGCATCTTCTCCATCGGCGGCAGCGATGACCACCTAGAGTCCATGGAGCGCTTCGACGTGCTGGGCGTGGAGGCCTACAGCCCGCAGTGCAACCAGTGGACGCGCGTGGCACCGCTGCTGCATGCCAACAGCGAGTCGGGCGTGGCCGTGTGGCAGGGCCGCATCTACATCCTCGGGGGCTACAGCTGGGAGAACACGGCCTTCTCCAAGACCGTGCAGGTGTACGACCGCAAGGCCGACAAGTGGAGCCGCGGGCCCGACCTGCCCAAGGCCATCGCCGGCGTGT